CAATGATAGGGAATAAATTAGCAAAAAAACTAACAAAAAAATCTATAAAATCAATCATTATTGCATGTACTACTTTCTACTTTAAGGCACTGTATTTGTATACTATCTACAACACATTCACAGTACAAGAACATGTTCAAAGGAACGGTACAAATATGGACTTATAAAAGCATTGTTCATCCTTTTTTAAAACTCTAACAAGTCTTTTAAACTCTCATCTTTCTTTCCTCTCTCCTTTTTACAGTATTTTTAGAAACAAATGATAAACTGTCCACAAACAATGTGCATACATTGTAGCATCCAGACAAATACTACTTACGTATATGTTAATATCACGCCCTACTGTCTGCGAATGTAGATAACTTTTGCGATGTTAACCTTTCATATTTGCTCTTGCTGCATACCAGGATCACTGCTTCTCTCCAGCTTCCTATTGCTAATCTGTGGATGGGAGCGGCACACTGGGGCCCTGGTCCAGAGTTAATTAAGAGCTCAGGGAGGAGTCCCCCCCCCACACACATGGCAGCCAGCTGGAGCCAGCTTCAGATTAGACTCCCAGAGACAAGGATGAACACGCATCCAGATACATAAACATGTATACAACTGCCAAAAGCAAAAATGCACTCCAAAAACACATGTGCAATTAGTGCAAGCATCTTTTTACATTGTCCTGCATCCACAGGTATGCGTGTGCATGTGTACTCAGTATGGGTGCACAGAACAGGGAGGAAAGCATTTAAATGTTTGACTCCCTTCCTGTTTGGCTAGAAAATCCATGCAGGCAGTTATGTAAGGAGTCATAAACGCATAGCGTTAAGTGAACTTCTGCCCACAGTTGCTCTCCCCACAGTTCACCTCTGCAGAGGTATGTCCTGCCTGAAGCGAGGATAAAACTCATTAGGCAAAATGAACTGAGAACTAAATCGAAAGACCACCAGACAGGCAATATCAAGGGAAAGTTATACTTTTCATTTTTGTTCTCTGGCTTAACTCTGAGGCAGACACAAGCACCCTGGAGCAACACTACCATTCCTTTGTAAGCAGTCACTTTACCAGTCTCCTGTTTGTCTTAATGAATGAAAGCTGTGACGAAGACAATCCTCTCCAGGAAGTCCTAACACAACACCCCACAGTGTTTTAAAGAACAGATTGGCTGATTAGCTAAATCAGCGAGTGTAAATAGGGTTTTGTGAAACTTAAGCTGAACATATGTTAAGTACAGGAGAAAAAGTTCACTGTATTTTCTCTTTCAGGTGCATGAGTTCACAATGGTTATTTTCTCACAAGTATATTCAGTTCTGATGCATGAATCCATATTTGAAGCATTTAAGTCTTGATGCTAGGTAGCCAACCTTACAGCCTGTCTCCACCCAGATGTGAAAAGTGTCAGCAGGTAGACTCTGAAGGAAATGTGAGGGAACAGTGTGTGGACGTGGGATTGTGTATAGCTTATTCCTCTTCCATTCCAGTAATAATCTGATTAGTAGAGCTTTACCAGTCTGTGTTCAGGACTGGTTTCATCTACACATGATAGCCTAATCGGCAAGATCGCTAGGCTATTCAGATATGACTGAGTGACACCCAAAGCTTGTAAACAGCACTTGATTGCAAGAGGCAATTGGGCCTGTGGGTACTCTACAGTTTCTAAAATAAATCACACACTACCAGTTGTCTGGACTATGTCTATACTTGTTCGTCATATGATTTGAAATACAAGGACAATATGTCTTGTCAGGTGAGTACACACTTTCCTGGTTAATGTCTCATATTTGTCCATGACCCAGTTCCTCATTTTTGATCTCGCAGAAAGAGGGAGAACGTGAGACACCACGCCTCTTTCTACAGAGCGTGGGAAGTACAGGTAGAGGCCAAATCAGGGAGTGCCACCACTCTCACACAGGCAGCCACTTACTCACCTGCTCTACTGAGGACTGTCACAGAGACAGACGACCAGAAATCTAATACCACGGAGCATACAAGGCTTAGTGAGCACAAAACACCACTGAGCCCCAATGTCAACAGCCTACAGTGCAACCTGACAGAGATGCCACCACAACCAAAAGAACGCCCTGTCAAGCTCAAAAACCATAATAGCAGAAAGGTAGTAAAGAGGATGGAGAAGGGAGGAAACTACTGTAGAATAAGTTCATAAACTACAGAAAGTCACGTTTTGTTTTGTATCATCTGGTGCAGAATCACTATTGAGCTTGGAACAAAAAGTGGCAAAGTGTACTGTTATATTGCAGTCATATAGTCCTGCTGTAAAATAATATAGTTTTGGGGCATCGTAAATCAGAGGACTCTGACCCGCACAGGAGTGTTTAACACTCAAGAACTTAAGACACCTGATTTTACCCCTAGCAAAAAAAGTCTATCTGGGGAGCCATGAAAGCAAGTTTAATTAATTGGACGTAAACTCCAACAAGAAGTGTAGCTCAGTTAGTACCTGCTGAGACTGAAGCAGAGTCTGAGAACAAGGAGCTACGAAAGGAGATTATATTGACTAGTTTTCTAAGCTCTTAAAGAACTCGGCCAAACTGCTTATTTATTTCTGCATTAATTAACTTTCTTTGGCCATAAAGCTCTTTGTAGTTAGTTGCCCTCCACCCCTCCTTCACCAACTCTCTGCACAGCCTGGCATCTCCCACATCACTATAACAACCACGGCTGTAATGCACCACAATAACCCCCCCTGGTCCCATTTCAAACAAGAACACAAGAGGGAAAATCACTGCAACTGTAAGGCGACCCTCTGCTAATATAAATAATTTAAATGAATGGGATTCATTTTATCACTTGTAGTAGCTGTCTTGGGGAATACAACTAGAGGTACTTAACAGAAACACCAAAACTTTTGCTCACCCTGCTCATGGTCGCTGATGTTGTCCTCCTGACCTTTATTCTCTCATCAACAGAGCAGCTGGTTCCTTATTTATCCATAGTGAAGCAGTTTCTCTGACTCCCAGCGGCTTGCTGCCTCGCACTCCTCCCGCAAAAACATGTCGGGCACAAAAAAAAAGCCCGACAAGTGCGCTTCCTCTTGCTAGTTACCCCGCAACATACTGAGACAAATGGCTGGCTGACTTCTTAGAGACACTGGGCTAGCAACTGGAGCTAGCTTACGAGGCTCACTGATAAACTTCTAAATTACGCAAGCTCTGCGGTTTCTAATTTCACTTTCTCGAACCGGCAAAACCCGTTGCTAGTCAAGTCAGAACAGAAATAAATACCGAATAATGCAATATCTTCCGATGTGACTCAGGAGACGCTCATATATCGCTGTTAATTCCAGTTAAAAGAAGTCTTTCTTGGTGGATTGAGCTGGCGAGCATCATTAATGCACTTGTTGCAGTGTTTGCAGGGGGGCGGGGCTTCGAGAGGTTACGATCGAGGTTACTGGTTGACCGCAGCGTGACCATTCGACTCTCAGCCAATCAGAAGCCGGAAAGTGAGGCCCGTAACCGCAAAAGCCACGCCCACATACAAGGCTCCTTGAATGAGAGCAAAAAATAGAAAACACACAATGCTGCGCCTAGCTTCCTGCGTGTCTTTGTTGACAGAAAAAGACTGGGCCTTCCAGTTGGTGTTGCACTGTCTTCCTCGTATCATGCCATGACAATTAATGTCACGAGTATTTCTGCTTGCAGGCCCATCCCCGAATACCAGAGCAAGAAACAGGATGATTTAGTGACTTCTTTATGTAGTACAGTAAACAGGCGAGAAGAGAAAACAATGCAGACTTAAGCTCTGCAGTTTCACCAAGTTAATACGATCTGTCAACCTACAGTCTGATTTTGACATACATTCCAGTCGAATTAGATGTTCAAATACCAGAGGAAGAAACAGGATGACGTAGTGACTTCTTTATTGTAACACAGTGAACAGACTAGATGAAAAAAACAGCAATACAGATTTAATATTTGAGCACTTCCATTGGGTTAAAATCTTTTTTTTAACGTTCAGGCAGATTTTGACACATTTCGATAGTTGTATGTTCAACCACCGGAGGATGAAACAGGATGACTTAATGACTTTTTGATTATAAAACAGTGAACAAGATACAAGAAGAAGAAGAAGGGGAAGACGAAGAAACCAACAAAAAATGTATTTAACCTTTGCAAACTTTTTCCTGTTAATATAATTTAACTTAAAGAAAAAAAAACCATCAATACAGATGTAATATTTGAACATTTTGACTTGGTTAAATATATATTTTTTTAACTTACAGGTTGAATTTGACGTACATTTCAGTAAAGTTATATGTTTAAAAACTAAAGGAAGAAAAAGGATGACCGAGTAATTTTGTTGTTCTTATACAGTAGACAGATGGAAAGCAAAACAATGCAAATTTAACCTTTGCACACATTCTCCTATAGTTGATAACATCTTTGAACTTACTGGCTGATTTCGACATACATCTCAGTACGTTTACATGTTCAAATACCAAAGGAACAGACAGGATGAGGTGCTTCTTTATTGTAACACGATAAAAAGGTTAGAAGAAAAACAAAACAAATACAATGCAGATTTAACGTCTGCAAACTTTCTCCTACTTAATATATTATTAACTTACAGGCTGATTTTGACATACATTTCAATAGATTTACATGTTCAAATATCAGAGGAAGAGACAGGATGACATTGGGACTTCTCTACTGTCAGGCAGTAAATAGTCAAACTTGTCACACGTCCATTTCAGAGTTATGTGTTCAAATACAAGAGGAAAAAAACAAAAGTGACCTACTGTATGCTGCCCTTCTTTATCATAAGACAGTAAACAGGCCAGGAGTACAACTATGCAGATTTTACTTTTGCACATTTTCATCTTAATAATATCACTTTTGAACTTACAGGCTGATGTTGACTTAAAGTTCAGAAGAATCACATGTTCAAATACTACAGAAAGAAACAGGATGAACCAGTCACTTCTTTATTGTAAGGCAGTAAAGAGTTTTGCACACTTTCATTACATATGGTTGATTAAATTAAATAATATTTGAATATACAGGTAAATTTTTCCATACGTTTTAGTATAATTACATACTACATTACCAGATTAAGTGAAAGCACGAGTTTGGGACTTCTTTTTATTTTAAGACATTAAACAGGCTAGAAGACAAAAACAATGTAGTGAAACTTTGCACTCCTTCATTTCTGGGTAATATCATCTTCGAACTTACAGGCTGATTCTGGCAGCAGAATTACATGTTCAAATACCAGAGAAAGAAGCAGGATTACTTAATGACTTCTTTATTGTAATTTATTAAACTGGCTAGAGAAAAAAAACACAACACAGGCTTAACCTTTGCACACATATTTCATCTGGTTAACATCACATTTGAACTTCCAGGCTGATTTTGACATCCATTTCAGAAGAATTATATCTTCAAAGTCCTACAAGAAAGCAGATCTGACTGGAGCCTATCCCAGCTGACTTAGGGCGAAGGCAGGAAGGCAGGGGACACCCTGGACAGGTCGCCAGTCTATCTCAGGGCTGCATTTAGAGACAGACAACCAAGCACACTCACATTCACACCTATGGACAATTTAGAATCACCAATTAACCTCAACATGTTTTTGGACTGTGTTGGAGGAAGCCGGAGAACCTGGAGAGAACCCACGCTGCACGGGGAGAACATGCAAACTCCACGCAGAAAGACCCCGGTGCCCCCACTGAGACACGAACCGGCGATCTTCTTGCTGCGAGGCAACAGTGCTACCAACTGCACCACTTTGTAGTCCATCATTAATTCATTCATATTAAAAAGTATTTCTTGTAGTAACATTTGAACAACCTCTAAGGGTAGCTTAATGTATGATAACAAACTGTGTTTTTAAGCTTGTCATTTGTTTCGCAGTTAGAATTATAATCAGCCAAATTACAATTGCCAAGCAAGTGTAGAAAAGTATATTTCCTTTTGAAATATATGAGAGGAGATATAGTAAGAAACATAAATTAGATTATTCGGAAGCTAATTACAATTTTTCAAATTTGTACAATATATAATAATGTACTTTATTAACATTTGCTACAACAGAATATAAAATTAACCATATTTCAGTGGCAAATTGATCTCTATTGGCTGATTTCTATTATTAAAAGTATTTTATTATTTCTAATACCAGTAGTTATAAATGAATGCATGGTGAATTAAGTTCCAAATATTATGAACCCTGAAAATGTAGTGTCATCATCTTCATCAGCAAAGAGCCCATTGAACAGCTCTCCTCCAGCCACCTGCAGCCACACCTTATCCCCCACCCCCAGGTGCAGCACAGCGCCCCCTGCTGCCTGGTCCTCGCTGCTCTGGTAGTTATCCGTGGTGTGGATGATTTTTGCCCCATTCTTCACCAGGGCCACTTTCACATTTCTGGAAAATACAGTGATGTGGTAGGTGAAGAAGTAAGCACCTGCCACGGAGCATGTGAACCTTCCTGTTTGCATACTGTAGTGATTCTGTTCATTGTAAATAATCTTGTCAAACCGGATTGGTGCATTTGCTGCCGGGAGTTTAGATTGAGCCGTGAGTCCCACAGAAAAGGCACTTTTAGGGATAATAAGTGCGTCTCCCTTTTCACCCATATCGCCCTTCTCACCTCGAGACCCTCTATCCCCACGGTAGCCTATATTTCCTTTGTGGCCTGGAACACCTAGTTCCCCCTTAGGGCCCGGCTTGCCTGGGGGTCCTAGTGGTCCCTGAATGCCTCTGTCGCCTCGCAGGCCAATTTCTCCCTTTGGACCCTCTGGTCCAGGTGGCCCCAATTCTCCTTTGGGTCCTTCGGGTCCAGGCAGCCCAAGCTCTCCTTTATTTCCTTTCAGGCCAGTGGGCCCTTGCACTCCTTGGGGCCCCATTTTTCCAGGAGGCCCTCGTTCTCCATTATCACCTCTTTTTCCTTTGAGCCCTGCTGGGCCAGTTGCACCTGTAGATGGCAAGCACACATTAAGCTTCCCTATCTCTTAATACTCAGTGTTCACAATTCAGCACATACACATCCAGAGAGATACGGGAAATATATCAATAAACTGTATTAAAATGTGCAAATAAAGGATGTGCAGCTGGTATATACAGACGTGCATATTCTAACGCAGGACATTTTAGGGAAAGTTTAGTGGGGCAGGTTATTCTTTAGTTACATACCAAGCTCCCCTTTGTCTCCCTTGTTGCCATCATTTCCTGCTGGTCCAGCTGGGCCAGTTTCACCTTTAAATGGATGATTAATGAATTCAAATGTTATTGCAAATTGTGAAGTAGAAGTTCAAAACATGTAGGTTTACTTTAAAGCTCTTTTAAGCTTACCTTGATCACCTTTGTCACCTCTGAGTCCATCTCGGCCGTCTCTCCCAGGTGCACCATTGTGTCCAGGATCCCCCGGTATTCCAGGGTGCCCGCAAACACAGCCTTTACTTTGGGTTTCTTCCACTGCAACACATCTGGCCACCAACAGAAGGAACAGTAGAGTCGCCCCAAACCTTATCTGCAACATTGTGCCTCATGCACCTGTCTGACAAGAACTAATGTCACACGATGTAAAAACTTTTAGATTCAAAGAAGTTCATGCCAGGGCATAGCTCGTCGCATTACTACATGTGTAGCTCAGCAGCTCACATGCAACATTAGAAGTGCACAAGACACTAAAAGACAAGCAAGACCTCAACCAAAGAAAACATAAGCTTCAGGCAAGTGTGACCTCAGACCTCTCAAAGCCGTTTCATTGGCCTGAGTGTTTTTGGTTTACTTATTGAGTCTGCCTCGTCCGTTGCACATGACCTGTGCCCCTTCAGATGCTTCTCCCTTCCAGTTGTGGGTAATTATAAGCTTAGCCTCAAAGTGCATGTGAGGATCAGACATACAGGAGGCCACATAGTTTTTACATGAGCTGCTTTCTTATACAACACAGCAAACAGGATGTTAACCTTAAGCAAATGATTACAAATGGTCACTTGACATATTCATGGCAGAATATCACATTTCTTGATTGAGCTATAAAAATATGACATTAAGAAGGGCTGCATGTATTAGCTGCACTGCAATGGGCTCTGTACTGGATGCTAATAGCAAGTTGAAATGTTAATTCATGCATGCTTTTCTCATATGTGATATTTAAAATGTCAACAGTCAAGAACAATTGACCTCATAAACTGGATCACTGGCACAATATGTAATCTTTTGTGTTTATTTTAATGATAGTACCTCCCCTCAGATGTTATCTAGCTGTTAGATCCTTATGTTAACCATGTTTACAGTGGATATGTGGTCACTGAATTTCCATTGGCTGATAAAAAAAAAAAAAAAAAAAACGGAAAACAAAAACAACTCCAAAAAAACTGTGCATTTTAATGCCTTACAAATATTTATGGCAGTTCTGTTGACTTCTGTTGTTTTCTACGCCCTTCACAAAGCTAAGATCAGCTATTTAACAGCTCTACCGGAGCTAGGACGGATTTAATATCTCACTCAAAGTCACCCGGCAAGGCAAAGGTTTGCAGGCACACAGGCTCGAATGAGGAACCAGCATCCTAATCATTATGCTGTGCTGCGAGCACTTTATTAGATTGCGTACAGTGAGGAGAGACGAGAGGGATGGGCGCGAGGGAGGGGCTGGAACATAAAACCAAGATAAGAAAAAAAACACAACAAAACACCCCCCCGATACTGAGCATACAGCATCCAGCCCTGACGTCTTCATTATCAAGACACTCCAACTTGCTCATAATACAGACTGACGCAAATATATTTTCTCATACTTTATTTCTTCAAGAATTCTTCTTACAAGCTTCCAGATATAAATATATTTAAAAAATATAAACATAACTCACATAAAAGTGCACATTCAAGCAATGTATTTTACCTGACACCAGAAATGGAAACTTCACTGTCATACATGTTGCAATACTGCACATTTACTTGCTTGTTTTACACAATGTAGACACAGTATGGACAAATATATAATCTAACAAATAACAAGGGCATGGCTCAGAATGAATGACACTCATTTATAATTTCAGGCCAGTATATCAGGACCAAGTCTTTGTAGTCCCATAACCAGGCACAACGTGAGGTTGATTTGGTTACAGAGGATGCTGCAACAAGTCGTCAGACAAGATAGCAGAGACATCGTCAGTCATTGAGTTCCATTAGGTTTAAGGCTAAATAATAACAACCTAGTAACAGACCATCATAAAATGACCAGAGTAAATGTAAATAAATGTATACATAAATATAAATACATCGCATACCGCATGCTGTAACAGTGGATTACAGTATTTCTGTACATATTTGTAAAATACTGATGGCTTGTATAGAAATCAAAATCTTCATGAGACTGAAGTAATGTGGAATGACTGAGCTCCACATTAAGTAAACAACTGAACATGGAAAGTAAGAAAACAGAGTTAACATTGCTAGAAAGGGTACAGCACATGACAACAGGGACGAGGGGAAGAGGAGAGCTTGAAGAAGGAGATCTACAGTATCTGACATCATTCTTTTAGGGTGTGGATAGAACACTCTGTCTGGCAAAAGCAGCAATTCCAGGGAAACTGAGGTTAACATGGCAGGTGCTACATAGCGTAGGAAAGATTTGGGGCTACAACATTTGTGGTATTAGTAGAAAATAAGGTCTGGAAGCAGGGGAACGGGTTAGCTAGTAAGTGGTCTACATGATCTGACGGTGCATACCATAGCCTGTCATACCAGATTGGGAAGCCCCGCGGTTGCTGCCCATTTGCAGGCCAATCAAACTCTGTCCTTGACGCAGCTGCTCTTCGGTGAACTCTCGTCGATACCCCTGGGCTTTCCTACACACATAAAAAAAAAGATATACACAGTGAAGTAGGGAGATTTGTACACATAAAACACAGACAGAGATGTAATTGTGAAGACATGAAGCTCATGTGTTACAGGGAGGTTTTTATGCACCTGTGAAACCAGTCTCGGTCACCCCTGTATTGACCGTCGTCCTTTGTGACTGCAACGCTCCCCAGAGCCATTAGGGTCCTTTGCACTGCTGCCATGTCCTTTCCTACAGCCAGAGTATATTGTAGTGACATGTAGATAATGACCATTTAAAAACCAATGTGAAAATGAGTTAAACCTCAACAGGAGTGGAGTAGAAATGTAAGCAATAAGTAGCTGATTTGTGCGATCATTTACCTTCCCAGAGGTCCACAGTTTGAAAGATGTCCGTGGTCGTGACTCCATAAGCTTCTGCTGCTTGCAAGAACTGGGAGATCTTCTCCATTTGTTTAAAGGCCATCTGGGTCTCTGGGATCTTTTTGATGGGTTCCTTTCCTCTGGGATAGAGGCTGTTGATGAGTCTACAGAGAATCTGAGAGAAAAAAGGTCAGAAATTTGTCTTGATCGTATTTGGCTGACACACTGGCCACAACATCCTAAAGACAGGGTTCTTAAAAGAATAATTCACCCTGAGACACTTCTATTGGCCATGCCTAAATGCCCTACTCAGTATTTTTGGAGTGTGTAATATTCCAATTAGTACCTTTCACTGTTTATTTCTACTTCTGCCACTGCTGTGACACATTACCAAGAATAACTGTTTAGATGCCCGTCAAGAAGGGGCATGACAACTCCTTTGTATTTGTTGTAAAAGCTGAGAGCTTCTAATTGACAAAAAGTATGAATCACTTTGGCAGATGCAATGTCTTTTGGCTGCACTGCATTATTGCTGCTGAGTTAATTGTTGGTGCAGAAAGATTTGTCTGCCTTGCCTATGATGGATCTTTCTGAATGATTTTTTTTTTTTACCATTTGAGTCAGCTACAGTGTCAAGCAGAAAGACAGTGCAGCACAGTGCAGGGTGCATTTTATAATTAGTCGTTAATTAGCTCGTACAGCATTTTCAATGTGATGAGGGGAGTTTTTGTCAGAGACTTCCAGAATTACTGCAAAGCAACATCTACAACAGCGAGCAATTTTAAATGAATTACTTGCCAAGAAAGACTTTTTAGTAAGACAGTAATCTTTCTGCATTATCAGATGGATCGTTCTTTGAGCTACAAAATATTAGTATAATAACCGGATTTCCAAATATAACAAGCTTTAAGGGAAGACGAATGTCTTAGTAGTGTAACCTAACACCAATAATATTTACTGACGGTTTAAAAATAAGTACGCACATAAATCGAGTTACTTATTTTAGCCTTTGTTACTCTGTGGGCTCTTTAAATCTGACAGAGCTGGTTAATCTACTATATTGCATCTTTAATAATTCAATAGTAGCTTCTATTTTCAGTAGTAAGGCACTGCAGCTACTCACTGTTCCATCCATGAGCCACTTCTGGAAGTTCTGCTTGCCCGACTGTGGTTTCTCCAAGTTTCCCCCACACTGTGCAACTATCCAGTCCACCAGCCGCTGCTCCAGGTCGGGGTCATACTTCTGGTCAATCTTCTCCTGCACCTCCCGGCTCAGGCCATAGCTGGGCCCTCTGTTCGCCATGGTGGGTCTCCCGACAATCTAGTATACTATAGGTAGTGTGCAGGTTCCCTGCAGAGAACAAATAATGCATGTCAGGTTGAAATAGCATTAGTCTGTAACAACCTGCTACTCTGATATTATGATGTTGCAGTAATAGATCCCATGTTGTAAATTAACTACTTTTAGCCACTATTTTGGTTTGGCTACAAATAAAATCTGCAGCATGACCCAAACATCTCTGAAGAAAAGCCCCCCAAAAAGCAGCTTTTGCTCTCTCTAGCAGCACCTGTCCCTCTTACAACCCAGGAGCATCTCTGGAGGCTGTAGCAGAGAAGGGTGTGGTCCACTGGCTGCTGTCCCGGGCAGGGACAAGCCCTCTTATTGCTATGGCAACTATCAAGCCTGTTTCCTGCACACTGATGCGCGCTGTGAGATCTTGGTTCAAGTGTGACCTCCAGTAGGCAGGCAGCTCGACGCGAATTAAATAATCAAGTGGATTTTCAGAAAGTTTACTATCTCATAAAGCATGCATTAATACAGTGGACAACAGCTCATATTTGGCTATATTTAGCCTGCAATATTGTTTAATTAAATTACGTCAGCCCCCTCTGACGCATACAAAAGGTTTGTGTTAACTCCTGACTTGGTTGTCTGCAGTGCATCTCTGTCAGAGCGCAGGACTTGGACTTAAATTCAGTAAATCCAATTAAAGTGGCTCCATCTAATAAAACGACGCCACATTGATGCGCATTCTGCAACAACGCGAACATTTCAACAAACCAACTGGCCAAAGCTCGCACAGTAGCATGCGACACTGCACCGTTTGCGTAAATATGAAACCCCACATGCAGCCAAAGCAGGTTTTTTTTTATTTATCGAGGAATAACTGCGTGCACTTACTACAAGAGGAGACGGCGCTCAGATTCGTCCCGTGTTAATTCCGCTGAGCTGGGCAGGGCTGAGGATGCTGAACTGCTGAAGCATCCATGAAACGCAGCACAAGCGCGTCGGACCAGACTGGATCTCACTTTGTCCGGGAGGGGCGAGTCACTGTTTTATATGGCAGCTCGTCCAGGAGGGGTCCCTAGAGACTCTCCGCGCTGAATGCGACGTGACTCCGCTCCCGGACACTGGTCACTGTAGTGCACGATCAGCTTTATGCAGAAACGAGTGACCCCTCAGCCAGCAGAGGCACACGATGGTGTCAAATAAATTCAAATGCTTTCATCTATAGTATGGGACATCACTCTATGCAATATAACCACCTCCTCCTTCCCCCTGTTTTTCTTTTTTTACATGATCATAACTGGTAAACTTACAGCTTAGTGACTTGCTTATTGCCACATAAGTCTATGCAGTCTTGTGTTGGTAGCTGCTTTACACTCTTGCTCTCCCTTCTGACTTTATTATTGTTCATTAGGCTTCTACACAGGACTTATTGTTCCTTACAACTATCTCTTAGATTTCCTAATCAGAACCATTTCTCATCGCTTATTGAATTTGCCTTGTTTTGTAGCAGATAGAAGCTGTAGCTGAATACAGACGGTGTTCTGCCTCATTTTATGCGACTACATGGTAACACAAAAAAAATGTGGGATATTTATTTCCAAGTAAACAAATAAGCAACATAGTAAAACACCACCATATGCAACGCCTTTTCCTGCCATCTCTCTTGACTGGATTACAGTTGTCACGCTGCCATATATTGACATTTGATGTTTTTAGTTCAGACATACAAAACGACTGACTACATAGCTCAGCCATAAGTTAAAGGTCACTGCTGCAGTTAAGTGGATTTGACGGAGATAAGTGGTTGGTTTCGCCCCATTGAGCGCAGTGCAGCTAGTGGCCAATTACATGTTAATAATCAACAGTCTAGTGGGCCCATTGAGCCGGCCTCTCTGTGGCTAAAGGCCAACAGGTATGGGGAGTCATGTAACAGAATGTTCTGCTAACAAAAATAAACCTCCGATGGCTGTAGCCTAAAGCCCCTGATGATTTCTCCTCACTGTAGATTCTACTCAGAAAATTGTATTATTGTTTAGTGTTTTGTTCTTGCTGTGGAAGATCCAAATTTCCCAATCTTTTTTTTTTCTATCCATTTAGGTAGGATGGTGATTTGAGTTTGGTCCAGGTTAGTGTTTTAAACATTTACAGCTAAAGAAATATTTAAATAGATAAACCTTCACTTTCTTAGCTGCCAGAAGAGTTTAAGTTTCTGTAACACAGCACTTCCTACAATTGTAAACACTCAGACCTTCAGTTTTACACATGCAATCCACTTTGTTTGCATTTTAATATCAGTGGCACTCTTGTCTTATTTCAGTTATTCTTCATCAGCACAAAGTATTGAGATAGTTGTGTTTTCTGTGAGTGCAACTTCACAGACTTGAGACCTGCACTCTAGTGTGCAGAGCTTTTATTGGCCAAAACGGGTGAAAAGTGATTAAAAAGGCACAGGAAAGCTGTGTGTCTACTTAAAGGTGGAGGGGAAAACAGCCAAACAGTAAGAACGACGGCAGAGACAGCAGCACTGGCAGACCTAAAAACGGCTGACCAACATAACACTCTATACAATAACCGGAACACATAAAAATGCAACCTGAAGATATAAGGGAACAGCTAGCAGGAGAGCTCCCTTTCAACATATTTTTCACTGTAACGGCATGTTGACATGATGACAGGTGAAGTACGGGGAAAAACAAGAGATGGATAAAAGGTCATATTTGGCAGAGAAACATGCCGGTGTTTGGTAATTTCCTTGAGGGTTGACTTCCCAGTTAACACAGTCATTCTTTTTTCATCTCATGACCCTCTCAGGCTCTCTCCACTATCCCTTACTCAGACCAAAGTGGTCAGCTTGTCTATGAGATCGTCAATAGTGTAGACCATCAGTTTGATGTCGTCTTTCTCAGACATGCGGTGCTGGCCGTGTCGCCGGAGGATGACATCCACATCCGGGCTGAGGACGCGCTCTGCAACTTGCATGGAGATGTGCCAGGGGACGTCCTCATCTTTGAGGCCATGAATGAGCCGTACAGGGCAGGTGATGGGGATTGGACTCTGGAGCACACAGTGATTTTCTGCCTCACGAAGAAAGTCCATGTTGAACTTGTAAAGACCCTCCTCTGAATGTTTGGTGGGCACTGTCCACTCCCCTTTCTCCTCAAACTCCTTGCGTATCTGTGCATGTAAACATGGAGACATCTCACTAAGAAAAATGCAATGTATGCAAAAAAATTAATTAAATGACAAAAATTAACATATATGACAATATTACATGTCCCTACTTCGAGTGGAAGAGTGTTGAATGCTGTGACAAGGTGATCAGCTGCAGTGGAGATGCCCACCAGTGCAGCAGTCTTCTCTGGTCTTGCAATGGCTGCTAGCAGCATGAGCCAACCACCTATACTGGAGCCCACGAGTATCTGCAAGCAAGCAAAAACACCATGAATCAACTGTTAAATATAGGGAGCAGATTCATGGAAAACTTCATTCTATTAAGACAACAGCCGACTGTTATTGTAGAAACAGTCAACAACAATCCGTCCATTATCTATACACCGCTTAATCCTCACTGGGGTCGTGGGGGGCTGGAACCTATCCCAGGTGACTTAGGGTGAAGGCAGGAGACACCCTGGACAGGTCGCCAGACTATCACAAGGCTACACTTAGAGACAGACAACCAAGCACACTCACATTCACACCTACAGACAATTTAGAATCACCAATTAACCTCAACATGTTTTTTGGACCTTGTGGGAGGAAGCCGGAGAACCCAGAGAGAACCCACGCTGCACGGGGAGAACATGCAAACTCCACGCAGAAAGATTCCGGGTGTCCTCACTGAGAATGCGAACCGGCAACCTTCTTGCTGTGAGGCAACGGTGCTAACCGCTGAGCCACTTTGCAGCCCTAATGGAAGACGACTGTTCTAAATATGTAGTAATGCAGTGCCATCTTCTGGACAAAAGATGACATAGTTTTACAATAAAGAGCAAGAATTTCAGAAGATTTTATAAATTCTGGTTCTCTTGTTCATTCTGCTGTTCAACCTGATTCTTAAATTGATTCTCTAAGAAATCCCTGTAGGTTATTTGTTGAGTGAGGTATTACAACACAGGTGCTGTAGTGTTAATCTATTGCTTACTCTCTTTTTGCAAAAAGCTAAGTTTGTAGGTATATACACAATAAAAACTATGATTTCTTCAAGTCCCTCTCCTCTGTCTTGATTATTCTTGATTAACCTGGATGCTTTAGTCTCACTACACAGAATGATGTATGAGCACAGTTTGACACTACAAAGCTATTTTCAGACCCATCTGCTGAAGACGGAAGCTTTCTCTGTGCTCACTTTCAGTCAGAGTTTAACATATGGGCTAACCAGCAGGATTTCAGGACATTACAAGTAGTTTAGAGCCAAACGTGTTACAGTATGCAACTTACAAGTGTGATTTAGAGATTTAGAGCCTCTGGTGCAAAGACACACAAAAATTGTTTTCAGTGAAGCAGGAGAAATCTGGTGTTCAGCAGTTTTTTTTGTTTTTGTTTTTTTTCCAATATTTTTATATATTCATAGAATCTGGATTTTTGAATGAAGTAGAAGGAGTAGATATATTTTTCCAGGAGTTCTTCACCTGGTAATGTGCTGGTGGAAAAAACATATTACAAAGAGAACTCTTCAAACATCTATTTTGCAAGATAGGTGTGTAGGGGAGGGATTAGAAAATACCAAAATTTCAAACAGAGTCCCGCACACTGTCTAACTTGCAAAAATATTTAAAGTGTTTCTCTGCTTTACCTTTACCAGGCAAACAGTACATGAGTCTGTTTAAAAGTATTTTTAGATGTTTTAAAGTATGTTCAGAGCGGATCATCAAACAAAAGACCAGCTAAACATAACATTTGTCAAAATCAACATTAGTCCATTGGACCTGTTTTGCAAGTCCTGCATTTGGCCTCTTTTGTCCACCTTGCAAACATACATGCATACAATTCATGATGCTTTCCTTTCATGACAAGGCTCAAATGAATAGCTAGGATGGTGCACATTCCTGACAGTGTGAGTTACAATGCACAAAAATCAATAAACGAGTGTCAGAGCAGGACGATTCTCAGGAATCTGATATTTGAAACCTCTTCTAAATGGGAACTGACCTCAATTTCCAATTCCCCAGTGTAAAGTTTTCATAACTTCACTGGTTACGTACCACCAGTAACTTGCAAAGTGGCATGACTCTAAGAAATATTTACCTGTGGCCCCTCTGCTAACTCATCCAGCACGTACAGGACGTCTTTTTTCCAGGTACCAATAGTTCCTTCTGCGAGTACCCCCTCTGAGGCCCCATGTCCTGTATAGTCAAACCTGAAAAACATAAGAAGATCCGATTGCTTTGACTATGGGTGGGTAAAACAACGGCAAGCCATAAAAGGCCACAGATGGGTTTTTGGGGACATTACAAGTACAGAACATCAGTTATATGCTACAATAAATATTAGGATTAGGCCTTTTAGTGCTCAGTACAATGCAGCTATGCGTATAATATCCAGCCATCTCAAGAATAAAGACTCTGCAGGACAACATAAGGTTGCAAAGGGTGGGAGGTACTTTTAAGTTATTGAAATGTTTCACAATTTTATCACTTAGCCGTTTGATTTGCATGATATATTGTTAGCTAAGGTCTCTCACATGTTACTAGTTGCTGCTTCTGTGTGTCAATGAAATCTTTTGGCTTTACAATTTTGATATTGCTGAACAGTTTGTTCAGGTCTGGTAAAATAAACACTCCATCTCAAAGAAAAGGACCATAACTTGGCCATAGAACATTTTGTGCTAACAAAAATCAACTATCCTCCATCGCTAACTCCACAAAAATGTATTTTGTACACACTCTTGTTATCTAGAGGCATAACGCTATTTAGAACAACAACATACATACAAAAGCTATGAACCACAAACCCTACTTAATCTGATATTTAGCGTAAGACTCAGAAGATCTTCGTTAGGACAAAATTTTCCCTGGTTGTCATAAGTTGGCAGCAGCTTTTCAGTATCAGTATAACAATTATTATTCTAATAATTACATCTGCTGCCCAAAGACCTAAACTGCATCTTTTCTAGTGCATGTGTTCTTTTCTTACAATCCTGTCATACAATTGCTATGTGAGTAGAGCTAAATTGGATTCAATGCTGTGTGTAAAAGTTGTATTGTCTTTGTTGCCAGTAAATTAGTTCCTTGGCTTTTAAAGATGAAAACCAGGAACATCCGGGAAGAGTGCGTGTTTGATCTGATCTATTCAGCATTCATTATTCCCTCGTGGGTGGTGTGATTGGATGACTTACCGGAGGTATGAATGTCCTAGTGACCTACAGAACTCTTCCAGCGCCTCAGCTTTCTGTCCATTCATGTTGGAGCCATAACCTGGGAGGAAAACCACACCTGGGCTCTTCCCTTTCACTCTTCTGTATGCCAGCTTTGGAAGGTCTGGTCGCGAAGCATACTGAACTGTAGATTTGTGTCTCCTGTCTCCTGGTTGAGACAAAATTATTACTGCTGATATTTTCTTAAAGGGCAAGACGTGTTAAGTAAATGGATGCACGTACAATAGATAGGCTAGTATAAATCTAAATGAGATAAACTACTTAGCTGAATACAATGTCATCCCATTTTATAGGATAAAGCTTATCGACGCAATTTGGGAAGCAGCACATGGTTACTGGCGAGACAGCGCGGGCATGTTTTTCTTACCGTTCAGACACAGCAACAATTAGCCCAATTTTCACACTCGGGCGAGGCTAGTTGAAGTCTAAGCTTTTAAAATACCGCACAATTCAACCCAGACGGCGCAAAAAGCGTAAACACCGCACAGTTTACGTGCCCTAAATTTTCAGGACGACGCAGCCACACCCCCCTTCTGCGCCTTTAAATACCTTTAAATGAAATAAAAACGACTGCGAAATGAATATGAGAAAAACGGAGACGTAAACTAACCTTCAAGGCGCTTTGTCGACAAAGCTGCGAAGCCTCCATTACTTAAAATCTGTGAAAGTCCTCTGCGGCAGGACCTCAGCGCGACGGCTGCCATACTGCTCCGCGACCACTGAGGAGCTATCGCGAGATTAGCGGCAGCAAGTCTCGTTCCACTGTTACTCAAGAATGTGTGCCGCTCACTGAGTTGTAGTCCAATTACATTACACAGCACGCTGTACAGTAGAAAGCTGTGGAGCAGTAGCCAAACAGGTATTCAGATTCTATTGCAATACTGCAGTGCAATGACCTTCTCTTGTTGTAAAAGTATTTAAAGTTTGCTTAAGCATCACATGTTCCTAAGTATAAAAAGATAAAGTTTTGCACAAAAATGTCTCTTGTCAGTGTAATATTTAGGCTTTGCTGAGCAGCATTTTAGTTTTGCTACTGGAGCTGGACTTGAGGTTACATACTGTTAAGTAGTTTGATCTTAGTTTATCATATTTTATAAACTGACCATGATCTATGCTGGTTAAAAGCTGTATCAGCTGCAAAGTCAAAGTCATTACAGTTACAAATGCAGCTGAGCAGCATAAAGAGGCAGAAAATGGAAAGCCAAATGAAAAAGGTGAAAACTGTGCAGGAACTACAAGCGGTTATTTCAGCATTGCAGTGGAGTTTCTTGCTCTTGGCAATGATAACATATTTATGACATAAAATAAACATATTTTTCAGCGGTTTTCTTATTCATGCTTTGATCCAAAACCAACATGTTTCCACTGAAAGTCTGTGAAAAATGTTTCCGTGGACATAGATACTCTTCAACGTAGTGAAGTTGAGTATTTAAAGCTTCATTTTTGACAATTTATAGATATTTGTAGTATTCACAGCTGTCAATACCAATACAACACTGTAAAAATACTCTGCTACAAGTGCAAGTGTTATATTATTGTTTTAATATCATTTTACTATTGTAATTTATTGAGGACACAAATGTATGTGTTGATTTTACTATCGAGTAGTTTCATGTGTAGCAAGGCATGTTATTTTCATCATATGTTTGAATTAAATCTGGTGTATTGTATGACAAGTAGTGGAGTACGTAGGTAGCAGAACATAGAAAAGGCATGTAAAGTGCAAGTACATATTTACAATACATGAGGAAATATACCTGGTCACTTTAATCCTGAAGTAGTTTTCTTGTTCATGCAACCAAAAGCATGTAAAAACCACATAAGTTGACGTTTATACTTGTCAGTTTAGTGGAAAAAAAGTATTTTATGGTTAGTTTTTTGACATTTTATGTGTATTTGTGGTTGTTGTCATCTACCCATAGCAGTTTAACACTCTAAAAATACTGTGCTACACGTGTGAGTGTTGTATTATATTGAGGTGTAGATATTATTTTAATGTTGCTGTGAGTGGAGCCAATTTTGCATTGATTATACTATTGAGTCGTTTAGTTTTTGGCAAGGCATGATATTTTAATTATACATTTTTACTAAATCGGCAGTATATTACAAAGTGTAATGGATAATGTAAGCAGCAGAAAATGGACAATGCCTATAGTGTGCAAGTATCTGTTTCATGAATAAGTAAGCCTAATTGTTACTCATGTTACTCATGTAAGATAACAGTATTTTTTATTCATGCTTTCATCCAAAGTGCGTCTAAAGTGCTAGTACATATTTACATCATATGAGTGAATACACCCTGCTGCTTTTATCTTGCAGTAGTTTTCTTAGTTATGTTTTGATCCAAAACCAAGACTTTGAAAAATCACATTAGTGCACATAGATTCTTACATTTTTGCCATTTTAAAGATACTTGTGGTCTGCGTAGTATTTACTTAACTGTAGCAAACTTACACAATATAAATACTCTGTTACTGGTGTGAGTGTTATTTAAGGGTGTAAAGATCATTTATTGTTGCAGTAAGTGGAGCCAATTGATTATACTACTGAGCAGTTACATGTCTTACCAGGATATATTTTTGATTAAATCTGTAATCTTTAAAGTTCTGTGAAATATATGAGTAACAGATATTGGAAAATGGACATTAAGTGCAGTTTCTATACTGCATTAGTAAATAAACCATGTTGCATTTAATCATATAAGAAAATGATGTTTCAAAAGAATGTAAGTTTTACTCTCAAACTATTAAATTGCAACCAAAAGTCTATGAGTGTGTGTCTTCAATTTAGTTTAGTTGAGTAGTGTATCTTTTTTTTTTTTTTAATTTTACGGATATCTTTGTTATTTCCAGCCTTTACTTAACATAAAACGGACAATTTAGAATCACCAATTAACCTCAACATGTTTTTCGACTTGTGGGAAGAAGCCAGAGAACTCAGAGAGAACCCTGCTCCACCAGAGGAATATATAAGTAGCAGAAAATGGAAACTGCATTAAAAGTGCATGTTCCTGTTTAAGTGCTGTTCATTTTAAGTATTGGTTATACTATTGGGCAATTTAATATCTAACCAAGCATTACAGTTACATCATATGTATTGTTTAAATCTGCAGTATATTATTCACAGCCAGTATTCACAGTCTTCACTTAACAGTAGCAATACTACACTGTTATATTAAGGTGTAAATATCATTTTAATGATGTATTTTACTGGGATAGAGCTAATTTTAAGGACTGATTGTACTATTGGGTAATTTAATATCTAATCAGACATGATATTTACATTATATGTAGTGATTAACTCTGTGGTATATAACATTTAGTAGAATGTATATGTTTATTGGATATTTGTAGTATTCACAGCCTTAACAGTAGAAATACTACACTGCAAACGTACTCTGTTACAAGTGTGGGTGCTATATTAAGGTCTACAGATCATTTTAATGTTGTATTTTACTGAGGTGGAGCTAATTTTAAAGACTGATTATACTATCAGATAATTAAATATCTAATCAGACATGGTATTTACATCATATTTATTGATTAAATCTGTAGTATTTGACACTAGGTAGAAAACATAAGTATGTTGGATGGATATTTGTAGTACTCCCAGCCTTCACTTAACAGTAGAAATACTACACTGTAAATATACTCTGTCACAAGTGTGGGTGTGATATTAAGGTGTAAAGATCACAAATGTAGTGGGATATTTAAGTAGCAGGAAATTGAAAACGCACATAAAGTGCAAGTACCAATTTACATTACAAGAGTAAACACACGTCGTTGATTCCCCACCACCGCTTATGCACCTATCCACGTTTTCTTTGTATGCATTTTATTTTCATCTAAATGCAAATCGAGGCGTCCATCCATTTGTGTGGGAGGCAGGCAGCGGCTAAGCTATGAGGAGCTCGCCGGCTGGAAGAGGTGGCTGTTATTTCTCTATCAGTTAAAAAAAAAAAAAAGAGGTGGCATCGGGTCAATTAAAAAAAAAAAAAAAAAAAGGAGAGAGGCTAAAATCGGCCTCTTGGTGCGGATTGCAAACAGCAGAAGTTGCGGTGCGTCGGTGACTGTCATGTGAAGTGTCAGTTTGTAACATGACTCAGAGCGTCACAGGCGGAAGGTCACGGAGCAGCAGAACGGAACGGAAGCGGGAGTAAAGAGCCGATCCGCCATTGTGGAATATGGTGAGGGATATTCCAGTAAGACACTAGTCACTTTCAGATTGACTGATACACAGCCTCGGTTCGGGCGGCAGGATCGTTTACTTTTGACGCCTTCTCCGGTCGCCGTTTGTAAAACCGCCACAAGAAGAAGCAGCAGCGGCGGCGGCGGCGGCGGTAGATCGTCGTCAGGTCTGACCACAGGCAGGGGGAGGAAAAAAAATACACAGATATATATAAAAAAAAAAAAAGCAAAAAAATAAAAAACCGCCGCCTTGTAACAGAGTGATTGGACAATCAGAGAGAGACGAGCCAGGAAAGCACCGAAGTGCAAAGAGAGGGAGAGAGAGAAATAGAGAGAGAGAGAGCCGGGGGGGAAGCCGTGGACAGTCTCACAAACAGCGATCAGTTTCGGCTCCTGGAGGATGTCTGCGACCACAGTCGATCAGGTATTGAGAGCCCGGACGGTTGCTGTGAATTAGCGGCGAAATGAAAGTTTGCCGACAACAGTTAAGATGTGGTTGGGGAGGGAGGGGGGGGGGGGGGGGCTCGGCGTGCCGGATCAAACAGGCTACTCCAAGTGTTTGATATATGATAGCTATTAGCCGTAATGTAGGCCGACTGTACTGCCAACCAACTCTAGCTGGAGCCGGTTGCCAATGCGGCACCGTTTTACTGGATGTCAGAGCGTTTGACATCCCAGTCAATAACACGAAGCGACCTGAGAAAATGTTCGGATCATGGCTCCACTACAGCACCGCTGTTGTGTTTATCCGTGTAGCATACAGCCTGCTCTGTCAGTGTGTTTCTTGTCTCCTGTCGTGATCTGATAACAGTCTCATCTCTTTTCCCTGCCCATTATTCCAGAGACCTAAAGGACAAGGAAATAAAGGTAAGGTGTTTCTGTGATTTGTAAAACGGCACACAAGTCATCTGTTGTTTTTTTTATTTCGGAGATTCCGTCCTGTGTGGCATTGCAGGCTGTTTTTGGTTATAAATTAGCCCAACATGGAAAACTGTAGCCTAAACTGCACCCTGTGTGTGTGTGTTAGCAATGTTGTTGTTGACTTCAGCCACTATGAGCAGACTGATCACGTACAGTAAATGTGGTTATTTAATGTCCTCTCTTTCCATCCTTAGTGCAAAACGGATCAATGCATCAAAAGGATGGAGTAAATGATGATGATTTTGAGCCTTACCTAAGCGGCCAGACAAATCAGGTAACATCCTACAATATACCGGATAGATTGACTGTGTCCCCTTGTACTTGTGGCCAGTATTTATCTCGTAACCTCATGTTATGGACAAATTAGTTCCATATTTTCTGTGTCAGCTATGTAACACTTGAGTAAGTGTTCTGATTGTGTAGATTACCAGTCACACTGTGGTAGAGCTTCAGTAAAAAAGCAACTGAACTTCTCTTTTTGGTTCTTGAAGATGTTTCACATCTCACCCAAGAGACTTCTTCAATTTTGAACTGAAGAATCCTCTTAGTTTCTCAGTTCCTTATTACTGAAGCTCTTAGGATTTCCATTTTTTCATTGTTTTTTTTTGTACCTAGTCTGACTTGCCGGATGTAGACTTTGGGTATAAGCCTGCAATTGGCTTTTTTTTTACACAGCTTTCTCCTCCCCATCCACTATTTATGTGTTATCGTTTTTAAATATCCCTTCACAACAACAATGTCCAGGTTAGCAACTTGCCACACTAAATATTTAATTTTGCCAATCACGCAGTATGGCAGCCCTGATGTTTTTTCAGTGAATTATCCATTTTAATAACAGCGCTCGCCTTCCTGTGCAAATGCTTCACAACAACAGTTACCCTCCCGAAACTATTTTGCAGGAACACTGTTGCTGCAGCCTGCACGTAGCTCCATCCAAGATAAATTGGTTGATTGATGATTAGTTTAAAGAAATACAAACAAGCCAGAGCATTTTATTAACCCCTTGTTCAATTCAATTTAATTCAGTGCAACTCCATTTTTTTTTATAGCGCGATTTCACAACATGTGTCATCTCACCGCGCTTAACATCGTAAAGTACAGTTCTTACAGATTTTGAACCTAGCAATCCTAATGGCAGAATTATAATGAGGTGAAACCAGACCATTCTGTTCTCCATAATGGACTGCCTATGCACCACTATTATGTACCTCAAGGTGACATATGCTCCTGTATCTTCACATGCATTTTTACCATTCTTAATTTAAAATTGTTATGTTTGCTTGTACTACCTGTCATTCTGTGTAATACATACATACTGTCTTTCTGTGCCCCACAGAGTAACAGCTATCCACCAATGTCTGACCCCTACATGCCCAGCTACTATGCTCCATCCATTGGTTTCCCTTACTCTCTGGGAGAGGCTGCTTGGTCCACAGCAGGAGACCCGCCTATGCCCTACCTGACTACCTATGGACAGATGAGCAATGGCGAGCCGCACTTCATCCCCGATGGTGTTTTCAGCCAGCCAGGCGCCCTGGGAAACACCCCTCCCTTTCTCAGCCAACATGGCTTCAACTTCTTTCCTGGTAATGCAGACTTTTCCACCTGGGGTACCAGTGTCTCTCAGGGTCAGTCCACGCAGAGCTCGGTCTACAGTAACAGCTATGGCTATGCCCCTAGCTCGCTGGGTCGGGCCATCACGGACGGACAGGCAGGCTTTGGAAGCGACACCCAGCTCAGTAAGGTCCCAGTGCTGAGCAGCATTGAGCAGGGTATGACGGGGCTAAAACTGGGTACAGACATGGTGGCAGCTGTCACTAAAACCGTGGGCTCACCCTTAGGAGGCACAGCAGGTATGAGCAGCATGGCAGCCAATAACCTCCCTCCGTCTGTCAGCTCGACCGCACCTAAACCTGCTTCCTGGGCAGCCATTGCCAAGAAGCCGGCCAAGCCACAGCCCAAGGTCAAACCCAAAGCCAACATGGGGATGGGGGGAGGCGCCACCATTCCTCCACCCCCCATAAAGCACAATATGAACATTGGTACTTGGGATGATAAGGGCTCTCTGAACAAGCCCCCCTTAGCTCAGACTATGATGCCCCCTCAGACCCTGGTGCAGCAGCCTCTCCTCGCTCAGCCCCAGCCTTTACTGCAGAACCCTTTACCCCCTCAGCCTCAACACCAGCCCCAGCACCAACACCAACATCAACACCAACACCAACACCAACACCAGCCCTTCCAACTCCAGTCTCTCCAGTCCCCCCAACACCCCCAGCCTCTGCCCCCTGGCCCCCCACACCTGCACCTCTCTTCCCAACCTGGCCCCCCACAGCCCCTTCATCAGCAACAACCCCAGCAGCCTGGACCGCCCCCCAACCGCTGGGTGGCTCCAAGAAATCGCGGTGAGGGCTTTGGTCTGGGTGGCGGAGTCCCGCTGAGTGCCTCCCCTTGCTCCGGTGAAGTGCACCCAGTGCTGGAGAAACTCCGTGCCCTCAACAACTACAACCCCAAAGACTTCGACTGGAACTTGAAAAATGGACGTGTTTTCATTATCAAGAGCTATTCAGAAGATGACATCCACCGCTCAATCAAGTACTCTATCTGGTGCAGTACAGAACATGGCAACAAGCGGCTGGATGGTGCTTACCGCTCAATGGGCAACAAGGGGCCCCTGTACCTGTTGTTCAGCGTCAACGGCAGTGGGCACTTCTGTGGCGTGGCCGAGATGCGCTCACCGGTGGACTACAATGCCTATGCAGGCGTCTGGTCTCAGGACAAGTGGAAGGGCAAGTTTGAGGTGAAGTGGGTTTTCATCAAAGACGTGCCCAACAACCAGCTGCGTCACATCCGGCTGGAAAACAATGACAACAAGCCAGTGACCAACTCCAGGGACACTCAGGAAGTGCCTCTGGAGAAGGCCAAACAAGTGCTTAAAGTTATCGCCACTTACAAGCATACCACCTCAATCTTTGATGACTTTGCACATTATGAGAAACGTCAGGAAGAGGAGGAGGCTCTGAGGAAGGTGAGATAAATACACATAAAGAGCCCTGTTCCTGTAAATAGCTTGTTTGTATGCATGAGACAGTTGAGTTTAGTTACTCTTTAATTCAAAAGGAGGCTAACTTTCACTGAGTCACTGCTGCAGGCTGTTGTCAGACTGTTATCAGCTGATCTTGTTCCACCTGCTCCGAGGTTGTAACATCCTGTGTCTGAGTGAACAGTCTGCCGTAAATGGAAGTTCCCAGAGGCCTGTCAGCAGACTGACAGGCCACCATTACTCATAAGCAGGTTCAGGAAACCCTGATTCCTCATCAGCCATCTTACGCTGTTGAGATTGCAATGATCTGCCCAAGTGGAGTTAGATGCATGGAGGTTTCCTGAAATAGGCCACATTCCTGGCATTCCTTCTTTCAGACAAAGGCAGATGTAAGCTCTGATCTCCCTTTGAACACCAAGCCTCTCTGCTCTCCACAGGCTCCTCATGCTTTATTAGCCTTTAACAACATAAGCCCTCGGCCTACAAAGTGGCTGCAACGTGCCTCAGCACAGTTGGCACAGTTTGCCTCGGATGTTCTAAATTGTTGATTTCTAAAATATTTCCCAGCAAAACACATGATAGCAATGCACGATTACATTTGTTTATGCACATAGTTCTAAAAAAAAAAAAAAAGAAAGCCCCACACACACACAGTGCTCATAGGGGAAGCTCAACTATGTTGCAGTGGTAATAACAGTGGTGTACCACAAATGGTAGTCTCGTCAGGGATTCTACTGCTGTGGAAAAACAGCAGCTAAAGCGCAAACAACATGCGACCACTGATAGCATTCTGCTGCATCCATTCTTAGATTCACCAGTATGCTAATCTAATTGCATCCAGAAAACCCCCATGACCTGCTCCCTCCTTTTCTCCCACTCCCCCACTGCTGGTGCTCCATTGATGCTGTATTGACTCCTCGCTGCTGACCTTGTTAATATGCACTGGGTTACTTTCTCATAAATATTTCAAGTCAATGTTTTCAGGCTTCTGAAAACAACCTGTCAGTAGAAAGCCAGTTTCATCCTGCGTCGTGCAGGCGTTGCGCTGTGCTGCTTTTGTAGCCCTGACCTCCTACATGACAGGATCGGCCCGGCTGAGGCCTCACCCTCTTTCGTCTGACAAGGTTAATTGTTGTCTATTGTTTGGCCTGTCCTTCCCGAACTTTGAGAGGTGTCAAACCAGACCAGCTACCTGCACAATAACACCTCCCTAAAGAGCTTTATTTTAAAAGATAACTTTGGATCTAAATGTTATTACAGGATTATCAACTAATTTGGCTATCAAAACAGAGAAGGTAGTTTCCTCTTTCCTTTATATGTCGTGTGAAGAGGAAGCTCTTGGCATGTTAGAATGAATCCCACTCTGCATATATGGTGTATAAGTAATTAGGTTGATTTTTGCACCAGGAAATTGAAATTAATATCAATACAGGTGGTGGACTTTAATAGAAAAACACATATTTTTCCACTTTTCTATGAAGAAATAAAGTTTCTTTCAGTACTGAATTACACTGTCGGGTTACATTTTACCTTGAACAATTAGAATGGACATGACCCCCCATCCTTTACAGAGGTATAAGGTCATGCATAGACTGAATTTTGGGAAGGCTTCTATCCTGAGAGCTGCAGTCCTACAGGGGATAGAGTTACTCTGGGGGCCTGGGTCTCACTGGTTTTCCCAGAGCGCTGACATGGACACACTCAAAGAGGACACTGTTCCAGTTGAAAAATGGGCAAAAGAGTACGCCCAAAAGCCAAGTCGGTGACATGAGTTTATGAAGCTCTGTGGGTTATTTGACTTCCATGTGAGTTTACCTGCACACTGTTGCGTCTTTAACTGCCAGTACAGTATCCCCCCCCCCCCTTTTTATATAATCTACAACACACCCGTGAATATTTGATATCTGAGGTGTGTTGTGATTACTCATGTTCTATAGGCTATGTTTTGTTTTATCCGTGACTAAGTGGGATTTATTACTACAAGCTGCATGTAGCGGCTGCAGTCTCATGCTAGTGTAAACATAGCTGGGTATTTGTTTAGTGCATACCTCAGGTCTTCTGAACTCATTTTCTCTCTGTTTATCTTACAGAGGATACTCTCTCGCTTGCCGTCTCACTTATTTTAACGCTAAACAGAGAAAGGTATTCCTCATTGTTGATTAGTTTTCTAGCCAGTGTACTATAAATCAGCACAACAACACCCATAAACAAGATATGCAGTTCTCATCTTAGGAAAGGTTAATGAAGGTTAAATCCTTGTTTTTTAAAGGCAATTTCTCTGTAAATAATTAACCGTAATTGTCATCTTTGCAGAATTGTTTGTGATGTCTTTAAATTAAGTTGTGCTTGTAGTGGAAAACAAAAGTTAAGACGATATGCAAATCTCGACTTTGGCTGCAGCCCGGTTTGAAAACCAGCACATTCCACCCAAACTGTACATTAAGATTATTCAGAAAGGTGTTTGCAAAATGAAACAAGACACGCTTAAGGATATATTTGTTGTTTTTCTGAAGAGAGACGGCTCTTTTGAAATGCCAAAAGTAATTTATGTTTACACTGACTTTATTTTCAACAGCACATTTCTGTTTTTAATTTCTTTGTTACCTTATTAAATACACGCTCCCTTGATAAATTGCAGAGATTAAAGACATTCTTACTATCAAACAAATTTCAGTCAAGCAGTTTTACAGAAACAAAGAAGGATTTTCCTGCCTGCAACTGTAACATCAGTCCCCAGTTAACTGAGATCAATTTTTCCCACAAAAGTTCAGGTTGCAATTGAATATTTTCCATGTATAATTTCAAAGAATACGCATTAGTGTGCATATGGAGGTAATGATAAGGTTTGCTGACTCATAGAAACAGAGAGGCCTTCATTTGATACATCCCGTCTAAGAACCAAAATCAATATTGATTGTTTTCCTGAATGGATATTATATCATCTCTGACACACTGGTGTAATCAGGAATCTCTCAATGGACCTTTAGCACTCAGGGTTCAAGTGTTGTGTCTGAGGAGATCACATTTAGTCAGCCGTCCCAGAATTCTTTGCTGTGTCATTAAGTGTAATCCCAACTTCACTGTACAGAGGAGTGCATCTGCTGACTGTATGGAATGCATTTATTTTTAATACACATTTATCCCGTGGATGCAGACGAGCAGAGCAGATCTGATGTTGCACTTTTAGCTGCTATTTATGGTTGTTTCTCTTCTGGTACAATCCACTGATTATCTCCTTCTGTTTTTTTGTTGTTGTTGTTTTTTTCTCTTCTCTTGCTAGGAGCGCAGTAGAAATAAACAGTAACCTTCAAGCAAGCTCTCTGCTAGAACTGCAACACTAATGATGTAGGACCTTAAATAAAATTTGCCTAACCACAAGGAGGAAAGGCTCTCACAATCTTTCCGCTGAAGACGACAATGTATCTGAACACTTGAACATGACAATAGATGGACTCATCTGTATCCGTTGACTGGTGCATCAAACCCCGTGTTCCTGTCTCACGAGAAAAAGAACGTAACCTACTTTGAAAAACTCTTGTCTTTAAAGCACTTTCAGCCCTTCTAAACAGCCTCTACCAATACCCTTAACTCTTTTTTTTCTTCTTCTTTGATTTTGTTTGTGAGCAACTAACTGACTAACCAGAGTAGTCAGAAGATTTCACTGAGCTTATTTGTAATTTTTTTAATGCCTCAAATGTTTGGGATATTGGTGAGCTTCATCAACCCCCTCCCCTCCTCCCTCCCCCCTCCTGAAGAGAATTAAAGGTGATATGTATAAATTAATCTTGTACTTGAATCTGTATTCAGCCGTCTGATCCTCCTCAAGACAGAGGCTGTGGGTGATTGACAGGTGGGATGAAATAATTGGGAAAACAGCCACAATCATGCCAATCATAGGATGTATCCTCCCTCTACCTGTTCCCTTCCTTTCTGCATCTGTTTCTGTGTACCAAAAGATTACAATTATGCAGCAGGCTGGCGAGCGCCGGCTAATGCACATCTTTGGGTTTTTTTTGTTTTTGTTTTTTTTCTTTCTCTCTCTTGTGATTCTGTCATTCTGAAGTGCATTTGTCTGAGGAGAAACCTGCTGCTCTGGTAGAACTAGCGGAGGCCTCCAGTGGCCCCGCGGGTGACTGTCTTTGCCCTGATGTTGATGTAGTCTACCGTACCTCAGGCTCAATCAAACTGTCTGTCCTCAACAACTCTTTGCACTTTTGGGAGAACCTCCGCATCAACCCCACCTGCTCGACTTGACCGAGATTCCCCCAAAAAGGCAGGACATCAACTGCAAGGATGTGACAGTTTTCTCCTCTAGGTAACTCACTACCTAAATAAAAATTACTCATGTTTAGCGCAAAAGCTGCTTTTGTGTTTTTACTTGTTTGTCTCAGAATGTGTCCACAGAGAGTTTTATAATGTATATGTTACGACTAGGTATTAAATGCAGTCAGCGAGGAGGAAAATTCTGCACCAGGGGCAGATCCTCCCTTTTCAATTTGTATTGTACGCGCTTCTAAGTAAACACAGCAGCGGGAACTCCCTTTCCACATATTTCAACGAATTACAGATGGATTGTAAAGTGCAGTGATGCCAAGAGAGTGGCCGTATAATTAAAATAACAAAGGTGTACAGTAATAAACTTGAAGAGGACGCATCAGGATGACTGGTACGTGGGAAACAGCCTGCTCAAGTTACTAAACAATTACAGGATATAACAACCAACATTTCACTGAAGGCTTTCACCTGTATGAAGTGTAACAGCAGAGAGGTGAGCATGCAGCCGGTGATGCACATGGGCTGTACCTTTGCAATTTTAAACTGTAAAAAGACATAAAAAATACAATAGTCTCATAAAATGAACACATTCTTACAGATTTAACTTGCTTCCAGCCTTTTTGGGAAATGATTCTGTACAAACAAAACAGTGTGCTGGTGCTAGTCATAGTTCAGACTACTTTAAATATCTCACTGGGTTTCAGTTGAATTACTGCTGAAATTATAATGATTTTCACACAAAAAACATACAAAAGTCAAAAAAATAAATAAATGCAGAATTGTGCTTTCAAAATTATTCTTTACCTTCCTGCCTCTCACTTTAATAATCTCATTATTAGACTAAACTGGGGCTGTAAGGTGGCTCGGTGGCAAGAAGGTTACCAGTTTGGGTCCTGGTGAGGACACCCGGGATCTTTCTGCGTGGAGTTTACATGTTCTCCCCGTGCAGCATGGGTTCTATTGCTTCCTCCCACACAGTCCAAAAACACGTTGAGGTTAATTGGTGATTCTAAATTATCTGTAGGTGTGAATGTGAGTGTGCCTGGTTGTCTGTCTCTAAGTGTAGCCCTGTGATAGACTGGTGACCTGTTCAGGATGTCCCCTGCCTTCACCCTAAGTCAGCTGGGATAGACTCCAGCCCCCCATGACCCTAGTGAGGATTAAGCGGTGTATAGATAATGGATGGATGGATAGACTAAACTAACCGTATGTAAAGTAGTAAAAGCTACCAGCTACAGCAGTAAAATGATCCACACTGATGTCATGTCAGTCATGAGAGAAACTGCACAATGAGTAGATTTACTTTTGATAATTTTAGTGCTTTTAACTTAAAATATTTCTCCATTTTCCTTCACATTTTGAGTGCAGGCCTTTACTTTGTAATAGAGCATTTTTATATTGCTGCACAAGTGCTTTTATCTAAGCAAAGGTCCAGAGTGCGTCTTCCACCACAGCATGCAGAGCACCTTTCCTGCCAACACGAAACCTTTGAAGTGAGTTCAGAGACACAAACACCAAACTCTCAGTTACAGGAATGAGCTTGTCTGGTCTGATGAATCTCAGTTTCAGCTTCACAAACATGATGGTCGGGCTGAGCTGTACGAAACGAGGCGATGCGTTCATTATGCACCGGCCAATGGGAGACACTTTGATGTTATATTGCAAGGATGGGTTAAAAGTGGTTTGACAGACACTTGGGTAAAAGGGATGTTCATCACCTGGCTGCTATGAGCCTGACATCAATTTAATTTAACATTTCTGGAATGAACTGAAGACAGCATCATGTATGAGGCGCAGAGGCAGAGGAAGTACTCAGATGTTTCAGTTTAAAGTAGCAGTACTGCACTGTAGGGATGTGAAAATAAAGACGAGAAAGTCCAAAATTTCACAAACAGCAAAGTACAGTTAAAGTAGCAAAAGTCCTCATTGTACCAATAATAATTAATATATTACAAAACTATGTGCACTACATATATTACTCTAACGCTGTAGCTTAAGAATTTCTCCACAGGGATTAACAAAGGCCCATCTTAAGCCATAATAATGCTTCATCGTGTAGTTTTTGATGAAAACAAACTAAAACTAACAAACGAAAGTTATCTTAAATGTAGTGGAGTAAATTGTGCCAACTGTGAATTGGACAGATGAAGCCTAAAGTAGCAATTTCAGGTACAATAGAGGCACCTCTGAATGTTAAAAAAAAGCACAGTTCTTAGTACATCTTCTTTGTCACTTTCCATTAACCTTAATGAGGTGCATATAGCCATTAACATTCACATGCAGACAAGCTCTGTGGTCATTTTTTAAAGCACAGACTGTGATCCAAATTTAAATAAGACGAGTGCCACACTCCCCCAGTTCAGCTGCCATTAGTCCCACATTGACTACAAGACATTTTAATGGACACAAATAATAGAGAACAGCGTGATCTGATTGGTTTATTTGCAAAACCAGAGCTGTTTGAAAACAGGAGATTACACTTGTAATATTTAGAAACACAAATAATAAGGATTTTCTATTTGAGTTCACCTCTCCATATACATCAGAATCTGACCACAACCTGTAAATACTGATTCATCACATTGAGTAGCAGCTGTTAAGAGTAAAGCTAAAATATATGGTAACTTAAAGGGTTTCTTTCCAAATAAAATATGCCTATCCTTAATCTGAAATACATGTAATCACAGAATATTTCTTACTTGCTGCTTTAAATGTGTTAGAGAGCACAACGAATTTTAAGTGTGACTCAGAAATGTTGACAGATGACAGGGTTTGGCCGAAATTATGCTTTAGTCTGGGTGGAAAGTCCAATGAAACTGAACTGAGACTCAGTTAACCCTTCATCATGCTGTTGGTATCAGTTAGATCAGGTTAGTTTCTTTATTATCTGTAATGGGGAAGTATGTTAGACCCATAAAAGAGGAAATAATGATGAAATAGATGAATGCAAATGCCACAAAAACATATTTGTGATATGACTTTGACTGTCATGAATGCAACTGCATCATTACAGGACTTAAGGGGGTGATGTTTAGGTAATACTTCAAACTATTATGTACATTAAGCCTGCAGACATAGGGTGTTTCTGAGCATGTTACACTGAATTTGCAAAAACTACATTGATTTTAAACATATAAAAACTCACTTTAATCCCAAATGCTGCTGTACGAGAGCAAAAAAAAAAGCCACATAATAAGTAGTTTTATATGCTTTCTATGATGTTAGATCATATAAAAATGTGTGTAAATTAGCCTTGTTAATCACAATCATTAATTTCCTCCAGAAATAAAAAAACTCTGTCCTCTCCAGTGTCTGTCCACTAGAGTGCGCCATCATATCATGTTCTTTCAAAACGCCCTCCGCTCTGCTCCCAAGACACACTACAAAGCCTTTCCTGTAAGCAGAAAAGCCCTCTTTCTTCTCAAGCCCTCCAACTCCTACAGACACAATTATACCAGGATGAGAAGCACTTGTTGTGCTTCCACAGCTTTTTGGAGCAATTAATGCCAGCTCGCCAAGCTGTGCAGTGAGAGGTGGGGAAGAGAGGAAGAAAGAGGATGTAAGCGGGGAGTGAGAAAAATCCCCCTTTATGTTTGTCAAGGAGCAAAAAAGAGCTGTAATTATAACATTGGAGGCTCTGGATTGCAACTTCTCTCCTCTGTGTGTTAATTTGTGCATCCATTAGATTTTCGCAGGCGGCTTTTGAAAAGAACACACTCTTCCTGCTTCCATTTGTCTGCGAACACAACAGACAAACTAAGCAGGAAACTCGCTATTTATTCGCCTCACAATGCCCTCACAATTACTAGTTGTGTGTGATGGTGGCTGAGAAGCACAAATTCACAAATATGCAAAACACTGATTTAATTAGAGACCTCTGATGTGATGTTGATTTTTATTTTTTTTTTTTTTTACCTCGTTCATGGAAGTGATGAAAAGTGCAGCAAAATAACATGCACTCTCTTTGTTCTGCTGCATGACTAGTGCACACTGCTGTAGCTTTTAAAGCATTAGAATTAAACAGGGAAAAACATATGCGCTGCACTTCTCTTTTCAGTCGGTTTCAATGGCTCGTCACGTTGTTCTTACCATTTAGGAATCAAAGTAACTGGTTAATGACTTTAATGTCTCCATGCAGTTAATTTGCCCCCTATCCACAGTGGTCAAAGATGTTCCAAGAAAGTGCCAAGCAAACTTTTTTTCTTTTTTTCCCAAACCATCAAAATGTCCTTCTGGAGAGAGATTCTGTTGAGTGAAGATGAGAGAGAAGAAGCATCCTCTGCTTAGTGAGCTGAAATGCCTTTGAAGTTTCAGTCACACTGAAGACTCATCAACACATGGCTCAAGGCAAGGTTAGGGCAAGTCTCAGGGTTGGCACTTCCTCGATGTTTTGAAGGTTTTCACACTCTGGGCCATGGAATGTCACTCAATAAGTCCTCACAGAACATTAGTCCTATTGATGACTATGTTAACTGACATGCGGCTGATCAGAGGAACTGGAAATTATTCTGTATATGTGTTTTGATGCTACCAGCAAAAGGTGGGATAATGTATGTGCATTAACAATGATAACTGTCAGCTGAGTCCTACATTCAAAGCCATATCTAAGTTTCAAGGTGTTACTCAGCAAGCCAAGTGAAATGATCAGCAGAGTTTTAGTTCCCATTTGAAAAAGTGGGGTTTTGACTGACAGTAATGTCTAAGTATCCTTCCTGCCCTTTTCCCAAGGTGTCTCTGTTGCCATGGTTATATCATTATCTGTGCACTGAAAGTGGAGGCTGAGCATTTTGCCGAACACAATGATATGATGTAGATCTCAGCTGAAAAGACTTTATTGTTCTGCATACAATGACACAGAAAAGAGTGATTTTGAATCTATTATCTTCTCAATATTTTTTGTAATCCTGTTAATGCAGGTGCTGAATAGGGCAAGTAATTATCAAGGAAATTACATTTTGATTTGAATGGATCTAATTGGTATATTTGCTATCACATTTCACATATTTTTGTTATAATTATGTCGGCGCTTACAGTTAAGGTTCAAAGAGAAGTAACAGTGCATTGTGGTGTTAGTGTTATTATCT